ATATGTAGATTTTAGTAGGTATTATAGATTTAAATAGAGACCCCAAATTTCAGCATCAGCCGTTTTCAGCATCAGCTGCAACAATTATTTTTATTTTGGGCCCTTATTTTTAGTTTTGGACCCTTATTTGTAATTTCCTCTAAAATCTTACTATAGCAAGTTGCATATAGGTATTCAATAAACAACCAGATAAGCCAATGCTTGTAAAGTAGTTATTGAAAAAAATAGCCTTTCAAAAATTTGTAATATTCAAAATTAATATTATAAAGTCTAATAAAGTATAAGCAAGACTGCCAAAATTAAAAAAAAAAATTATAATCAATTAACTGCTTGCAACTAATCATAATCAGGTTTTAAATTTTTCTAATATAGATACAACTTCTAGTGTAAAATTTTTGAACAAACTACTTAAATTAAATAACTAAAGATTGCATATATAGCTTGTCGTATTTTCATCTCTGTAAAAAAATATATAAATATAGTCAATAAAGTTTTACTATAAGGTACAGCTTTTAAAAAATATATATATTAAAAAAAAATAAATACTATTTTTTAAAATTTTATTATATTACAGTATATAAATCTATTGATTTATATTAAAAATGCACTCTAAATTTTATTAAAAACAATTATACGTATATGGTGCTAACACTGTGAACGCATTTTATAATATATAATTGTGTTAATAAAATCTACATATATAAGTATATATATATATATATATCTATATATATATAATTTTAAATACGTATAAAAAATCGATTTTTATGTTACATCTGATCTAGTCAATAAGCATTGGTTATAAAAAAATCGATTGTTTGATTGTTTTCTACGTTACAGCTGATCTAGCCAATCAAATCTCGTAATTTGCGAACACACAGACATGGGTGCACTGTGCCTCTACCATAATGTTCTTTGGACAACTATATATGTATACAGTATAACTAATTTTATTAAACTTAAACTTTTTATTATAACAACAATATTAAATTTTTTAAAAAAACTAAAGCTTAATATAGTTTTAACTAAATTTGTTATCACGTTAGTGATAATTGAAGCTTAAAGTTTTGGTACGACGGATAATTTTGGAATTCAGGGGCAATAAAAAATTTCATGGGGCCTCATCATAGTCGAAATAGGTATGTAAGTTTGCAGGGTACATTTTGTTTTATTACGAAATAAAAGCAAAGCTGCATGAAATATTGAACTGAATGAATGAAAATTCAAAATTGTATAAATTGAATTTTAATAGCCCTTGTTGTCTAAATCTGGGACACAGAATATTGGTAACCAATAATATTATACGAGGATCGGATTCTTTGATTGGCCGACGAAAAAATCTCGTCTACATTTCAACAGCTTCAAAGTCTCTCAGGGGTACCAGCAACTTGAAAAATAGGACCCCCTGTTGCGTTCGCACAATTTTCATAACTAATATCCCAAAGATGCAACAGTCACCTCTCCAGCACGAAAACCCACAAACTAACACGATTTCACTGGAAGTTAATTCCACACAAAACGTCCAAACACCTCTAACTCCACAGACACGCGATCCGACTTCCCACGTAATTGCTACGTCTTCCCAACTTAATGCCCAACTTAGCGCTCAGCGGCCTCCGTTCGTTGTAGGACTTGCCGCTTGTGTGCCACCAGCTGGAGCTTCAACTGCTGCATCGGAAACTGTTGCAACAACGGTGACGAAAAATGCTCAAAAAACATCAACATCTGTATCGCAGAACATTAAAGTTCCAGGCATTTTTTCTCACCAAGCAACATTTCCTATTCAGCAGACGCCTTTCAAACATCTTAATCCCACCCAACCGGTGTCTGTAGTAGCTATTTCTGCTCTTTTAGAACCTGATCAGAGGACTGAAGAGCTTTTGGGTGCCTTATCTATTGAACAACTAACATCAATTGAAAATACTGTAAAACGTGTAAAGAAAAAAAAAACTAAAGAGTTAAAAAAGCACAACATTAATGATAGCACCGTTAACAGCGGTCTCAGTAATCCGGCTACTCATGCACGGGTCGAGCATTCGGTACCAAATACGAACACAACTCCAATGTTAGCACCAAATCCTCTGCCTTCACCTGTTAACACTAGTACTACCATATCTTTTGTTTCATCAAATGTCAATAACAGAGTTCAGGTACAAGATCAACAAAATGTTCATCAACAACATCATCAACAGCCTAATCCCGACCACCAACAGCACCGTACACAGCAACGGCCAGTGCAACAAACACAAAGTCATTCAAGCCAACCGCAGCAAAACATATCATCCCAAACCCAAACTACCTCAAAGCAACAAACAACAGAGATATCTACTCGGCCCCGCCGATCTGATGTTCCTATTACTAATCCAAATCCAAATCATGCCCTTCCAGCAACAGATCCAATTATTGAGGAGGTTAATGGCATGCAATGGGTCGTTTTTACATATTCAGTTAAAGGCAACAACAAAGAATACCGTATACGGATCGATATCGATAGGGTTAACCTTGACGAGATCGATGAACAGTTTAGACATGATAATTGTCTTTATCCAAGAGCCAATTGTACCGAGGACAAGTACCAGGGGAATCGATGGTCATACGAAAATGAATGTAACGCTTTGGGATGGAAATTAGCATGGCTTAATCAAGAAGAGATTAGTGGACGAAGAGGATTACTTCAAAGAGCTGTAGATAGCTTTCGAAATCGTGATCCTTCATTACGTTCTCGGAGAGTTGTTCGGAATGAAAAAATTATGAATGGAACACTACGCAAGAGGGTCACCAGGGATAATGACTCTTGTGATGCATCATCCGAACTTTCTGCGAAACGACCCCGAGGTGCGAATAAACAGCTGACAGTAGAATATACAGTGAAAGAAGAGACTACCAAAATTCGTATACGTGCTGATGTTGAGTGTGTAAATTTGTCAGAAATCCCGGACGATTTTAAAAAAAATAATTGTGTATATCCTAAAGCAGCGGTTCCAAAAACAAATTATCAAGGAACAAACTGGGAACATGAGTCGGCATGCAATGAGTTGGGCTGGAAATTGGTATTATTTTTAGCTTTAAATTAATATTAACTATATATGTAGTGAATATCTAACCTTATCTTTGCTATAGGCTCATCTGAATTCAGCGAAACTTAATGGGAACATACCACTTCTTCAAAAAGCAATAGATACATACTACGCAAAATATGCTTCCGACTCTAAGCCTCGTCGAGGAAGATATTCGCATACTCTTTCATCTAAATTTTTTGAGAATCATCCTCGTGAAGTGAATTCGGATGCCACTACGTGTGCGACGACATCATTGCCAATGAAAGAAACTAGTAATCAGACAACATCTATTAATGCATCGGATTCTATGGTGATGTTAATGCCTTCTGATTCTAAATCAGCAGTGATATCAACGGGAAAAACGGAGGATTTAAATAGTATTGCAGAAGATAATCCCTTGGAAACTAACAAAGATTAAATTGTTATAATATTATTATACCAGCCACTATCCTATAATATTTCAAGAATAGTAGCATATATAGAGTTGATGGAATATACATACATTTTTAAATAGTGAGAATCGCATATTGCTAGATTGAAACTTAAAAAAGTCGTAGAAGCTAAAAGTGGATTTTCCAATATAATAACGTGTCGGGATTATTTAGGAATATTTTGCGGTATAACGCGTTCTCACCAGTTTTGTTATAATATATTATTATTATTACATTTTTTTTTTTTTTTTTTTTTACAGGTATGTAGAATAGGATCTCCACTTTCTTTTTTTATTTGTACAATTGCTAGTGGGTATATGTAGGTTTGGCTGGGGTTCTATTAAAGAGAAATTTTATATACTAAATAAATTTAATAAACTGAGATAGTTTCGGTTTTTAATTTATAGAATTGAAGTTTTATTTGTTGTATAATTTTCTGACCAAATTCCAGTGCTTTGGATTTATCATTAGATTAAATAATTTAATCAAAATAATTTAATCACTTAGAAATATTATAGTAACATGTGATGGAAATTTATTGATAGGCTAGCAAAAGCCAAAATTTAAGATTTATTCTTTACCTCTACTATTTGTAACTCTTAGCATTTCGTAAAACGATTGATTTTACCTTGTTTGCATGAAGCTCAAGAATTTATTTGAAGGTATTACTTTTTAAAAGTTAAAAAATACACATGTTAGTAATATAGTACTACACGTTGATATTGTTGGGTTTACCCTGAAATCCCGAAAGACAGATTCCCGAAAAAGACATAATACCGACAAAGTTAGCCAGCATTAGTTATAATGCTGGCCAACTTGGTCGGGATTTCAGGGTAGAACCGATATTGTTAGAATAGTTTCTAATAAAGTTAATAAAAACACTTGATTTCACGTGTTTTTGAGTTTATAAAAGATAAATAGGGTAAATAGACAAAAATTTTAAAATTTGTAAATTGATTAATTTAAATAAAATTTTTTTTGTATATAAAATTTAATAATAATTGATTACTATAATTATTTCTATATTTTTTTTGTTTTAATATTAAGATAACCTCTTCGGTTTAATAGATTTTATTAGCAATTTGAAGTAAAATTACATAAGAATAAGTATATAACTAGCTATATAACTTGTCTAATTTTACTAGTTGTTATATTTAAAACTTGCCTGTAAATTTTTTATTTAAACTTTTTAATTTTTTTTTTTGTGTATCTTACTAACTGTATCTATTAAGTAGGGCTAATAATTTTTTACAATATTAAAAAAAAATTTTGTATATATAAAAAAAAATTTTGTAATATAATACTATATAAGCAATTCTTGAGAATTATATACAATTATATAGTATAAAATAACTAATCTTTTTTTTTTTTTTTTTAAACCTTAGGCAGTTTTGCCAAATCTTTTTATTAAGAGAATTGAAAACTATAGTTTTACAAATAATTACTTAATTTATCAGATTAATATTACCAAAATATACAAAATATACTCAAGTGTAACTTATCTGCACTAGTTTTAAAAAAAACTAGTAGGCTATGTCAAATAGCCTAAAAATTCTTTTCTTTAAATCTCTTTTTTTTTCTTATAGAGCTTGATAAAGAAGATGTATAAAAATGATTTATAAAAAACAAAAAAACAAAAAAAAAGAATAACAATTAGCTAAATCCAATAGTTTAAAAAATAAACCAAAGAAAAATAATATACTATTATAATTTGTGCAAGGCTAAATAAAAATTATATAATAATTGCAATATATTCTATATCTTTATTATAAAGTTTTGTCTTAATGTATATATTTCTTTCTAACTATATAACTACCTTCAGATATCTTTTTAATCAAAAACTTTAATCTATATTATCATATAAAGTAGTATCATATTTATAAATAAACAAAACATTTAGTTGTAGTTTAAAAATTTTAAAAATAAAAAAAGGTTTTTAACAAAAAATAATTTTGATATATTTTGTACAAAGCCAAACTTTTTTTTTAGTAAGTAATAAACTTAAACATGTTGGCAAGTAATATATAAAAACTACTTCTAAATAACAAGTATTGTCTTTGTAATAAATAATAAACTTTGGATTTATTAGCAAATAGTATATAAAAACTATTTCTAAATAATAAATGCTATCTTATAGTTTTGTTTTGTAGCTCTTTGTAGTATTATATATTATTTTTTATAAGTTAGATTTTTTTAAAAATTTTTAGTATAAGGAATTATTAAAAAAAGTTATATAGTCAGACCTCCATAAATGCAATCTCCCTAAATGCACGTTCTATGAAAAACCTCTATAAATGCAAGATTTTTTAAAATTTCTATATGGTCTGCGCGAATTGCATTTAGAGAGAGTTGACTATATATGAAATAATTAATCGTATATTAAAATATATATATATATTTTCCTTTGATAATATTAAAATATATTTAAATTTAAATAATCTTTATTAACAAACTATGAATTTTTAAAACTTAACTAAATATAGTTAAATCTTTTTATAATTATACTAGTTGTAAGAATTTCAAAAACTCTTTTCAACGATCATTTGTACCAAAAAATCCAAACACATTTTTTGTAAAAACACAATAGCATTTAGTAAAACATGGAGGGCATACTAGTCGCTATAAGTTGGCAGTTGTTATTTAGAGGTAGTTCTTAT